GCCGTGAGCACATAGCTATTGTTATGTCAGGTCTGGTAGCCCGCTACGAATATTAATGTTGAAGGCGAGGAGCGGTCGCGCCCCTGGATTCAAGTGTTAGAGCCTACACAACTACTTAAACGGACATTGAACTTTTATAATGGATAAAAAATATTATTTAAAGTGTTATAAAAAAAATATTTGTAAAATTTTTACAATCTTTTTCAAAAATAATAACTTTAAATTATAATTTCAATTCTAGGACAACACATAAATTAACATTGGCTCACAGTTTTGTTAAATCAACTTCTGTACACTACCAAAAGTACTAGTATTATTATTAGTAGTATTATATTATAAATGCGAAAGTTTAGATGGATGGATGTTTGTAAGAGTTTGAAGCCTAAACTGCTAAACGGATCACGATGAAATTTGACATAGACTACTTGTTTTTTTTTATTCCACGCAGACGGAGTCGCGGGAAAAAACTAGTGTATTATAAATAGTAGTATTTATAAATTATATTCAATGTACTTCACGTTTCTCAATTACAAAAGTAGGAAGATTTATACTGGTCCCGACACCCACGTACTCCTGTTTACGACGGCCGTATCATTTAAAACAACATCAGGTGCGTCTGGCGTATAAAAAACAAACCGCCATGGAACGCAATAAAATACAAATTCTTTTATTTATAGGCCATTGAGTATGTATATTATGACGTCATTATAACGCTATGAAAACTAGCGAGAAAAACACACATTTGAAATTCGAACCTCAAAAACCAGACTAACAAAATACAAAATAGAAAAGATTTTTGAAAAACCGCTGCCACTAGGAGTGCATAAAAGCACCACAACACGAACGAGAACTAACGTCACAAGGCGATGAATATGGAAAAGAAAAGGCCATAAAGGAAATTCAAATTGTAAAAGGGCATTGTTCAAAGTGTAAGTCGGCGGGGGAAAAGCTTAAGCGTGTAGGCAATGCAGGTGCATAGTTATATATTAATGTCGGTTCTAGTTTAAGACCGCTCTATGCTCGAGTAATTACGAAAAGCTGTGCAACGACTGCAGAAAACAAAAAACCATATTTAAGCATTTCACTCGTTTTAGTGAAAAATGAAATTATTGACACATCGTACTACGTTTTATTATAATACTAGCTTTCGCCCCCGACTCCGTTCGCGGGAGATTAAAAAAACAAATCTGAGTAGCTTATGTGTTCTCCCAGACTATCCTCTTCATCTACGCCAAATTTCATCGAAATCCGTTCAGTCGTTTAGGCTACAAACTCTAACAAACATCCATCCATTTAAACTTTTGCATTTATAATATTAAGTATGATATAAGTAACATACATTAAATTTAGTATAAAGCGTTTGTTTAAATCGGTAAAATAGAAAACTATCAAATTAATCAACGTGCAATTGTTTCTGGATTCCGCGTTACTTTACTATTCTATACACGCATGTCGCGTGACTTAACACAGCTCACGAAGTTGTTTTTACTCTCAACTTTAAGAGACAAGTTCGACTGAAAGCCTAACCCTCAATAATGATGTAATTTTTAAATTACTCGAATTAGAATTGTGTAAATAAATACAAAATTTAACTTTGACACAAAACTACACCAAAGACGCTACATATGGATCAGATATATGGGAAAGCATCTCAATATGCAGTCAAGTGGGGAGAGAGGCGCGTATGCTTGGAAACTTTGTACAGAACGCCTCGAAGATTTCACTCTGTATTCAACAATTTATAGATCCTTTTCCATATTTCTCGAATGAAATCTAAGATCACTTAGAAAAAATTTACTTGGAAATCTGCAGTTGCTATAAAGTCGAGATAGAGCTCCTTTTGAATTCAATAAAATTCTAATAACTTCTTTAAGTATCAAGAATAATATTTTCATTCTCAATGCTCAGATTTTATGGTTCTGTATATTATTATAAGGAAAAGAAAATAACTTCGTGTTTTAGTTTATTTGCACGTTTAAAATACGGTTAGGGTATATCGACAAGATTAATGAAAAAATGCTGATAAGGCAAAAAGTAACAGAAAGTTATAGCGTATGTTCTAGAAGGACAAGATTCGTCTTATCCCGGTCCTTGTCATGACACTGACAAGCAATGTAAAAGAACGCAGAAGAGACATGTATGAAGTTTGTGCCACATAAAAGTAAGTTTAAAAAATATTTTATTTCTAGAACCGTTGATTTTGTATTTTTTTAATATTTTATTGAACTTAAATATTCTGTCTATTGCAAGTACAGCTTATTGTAAAAGCAAATAAAACCCTTTTTTCTCTGTCAGCATCACTCGTTTTAAAAGTGCACTCGCCGAAACTTTTCAAGCCTTTTCTTGTTTTATTTACATCACGAGCATTATAGAAATTTTTAACTATTTAGTTATCATTAAAATGCAATAATAGTTTTTTTTATTTTATTTAATAAAGGCCTTCAGGAGATTATAACTTTAGTAGTTTACTGACAATTTTGCATTTATAAATCACAAGTGGTCTTATTATAATGACCAAAAGAGACAAGAAAGTATACGATATAGGATCTAGTACCGAAATGTATGAAAACAACGGTAAACAAAAGCCTAAGTTTTAGACAACGAACAAACAATTCGGCAAACCATTTACACACATCAGGTCCGTGGATTGAATAACTAAAGTTTTTGAAAAGGAATTCAAAGCATTTTAGTGTTGCTAATATCAAAATACATGATCGTATATATAAAATGTACATAGATAAATACACAATAAGCATATATCAGTACTTAGTCCAAATGCTTACTTTTATACCTGTCAATAATATTACACTCGCCTCAGTGAGGTAAAAAAGCTACAGGAAATTCTAAAATGAACTTTTTTCAATACAATTCTAGACGTCGTTAGAAGTACTGAATAATTACTCTTCTCATACACTTTTACGTCGAAGCGCACTTTTAAATTATTCACTAAAAATAGCGTTGAAACGATGTTTCCCGCCTGTTAATAACGGCTACGTAGTAAAAAGAGAAAACATTTAACTAAGACATTTTGTGCACTTTTTTTGCAAATAAATTATTTGTAGTAAGGTTTTATGGTTTATAAACGAGCGAAATAGTATGTGTTAGAAAATTCAAATTGATTTGGTATTATTTGTAACATCTGCCTATTACGTTAAATAACATGCAAGAGTACCTATAAAAATACTAATGATAGGAAAATTCGGGAAATCGAAAACCGACAATGGCAGCTTGTTAGGGAGTTTTATTAATAACTGTTCAACGAAAAAACATTGTACAAGAGATTTTATTGCGAACCCCAAAAGTCTTTCAATAACAGCGGTTCTATGTTGCGATACAAAAATAACGTCAAAACATTCAGTTATTATGTTGGTAAAATTACTGAATATTTACTACATCTAAAAAATGTATTCATTGTGTATATTTGCAGTGTAGTTTAAACTATACATTTTAATACTGACGTAATTCTAAATCCTTCCCTTAGTTTTTGATAGTATCTAATATGTTTGAATATAGGTCTTTGAAGGCAAAGGTTAATTTTAAGTAAATTAGTACATACTCTATTGTCCGTATAAGTATTATTTATAAATAAAAAAAATACAATTGTAGTAAACAGAAAGAATTTTATATGTTGTTGAATACAACAACCTCAAATCATCTTGCACGCTTTTCCAAAGTAGTAAGTACTTACAAAATGATTTTCAGCGAAATTCTACTGTTGCAAGAAAATAAAAGGTGGAAGCCAGCAGCCCGCTGGCCGCAGTTCTCTCGCAATTACATCGTTAATTGCTGTTACGTAGCAAAATAAGAGCGCGCTCGCCTCCCTTCCAAAGCCATTTTCATTATGATCCAGTTTCAACGGCGGGATGTAACGTATCGAACTAAAACTTACATCTAACCCATTACATACAAATACAAGTTTTTATTCTTTGGTAGATTTATTTTTAATCTATTAATAAACATTTGCTATAAAAGAAGAAGACTTTTCCATTATAAAACAAAGGAAAATTTCTAACGAGTGAAAAAAAATGTATGATTATCAGGTTGATAGTGAATAAACAAAACGAGGTTAGTAGACGAAATGCAACTTAAACGCCACAACAATTGTTTATGTTTCAAAATGAACCAAATTTCAAATACAAATTTAACTTAACCATAACTTAGTCCGCGCGGTGGCATATCAGTGCACAGTTGAGTAAAACTTAGAGTAACTTGAACGACCGTACATAGCGACATCTTCATTCCGAATCACCGCACCGTCTTAGATATTGGTGGCATAAATTTAGTCGCCGTTGTACATATTATTTTGAATGTATAAAACAATTGTTAAATATCTACTCCGTTAACTTCAAAGTTCTAATTCTCTTGTCTTATTTCAATCTGACTAGAATACGTGTTTTTAAAAAAACGATTGATTTGCTCAAAGCATAATGTTTATTAGCTAATTTATTTTTTCAATATGAAAACAATTTTATTCTAAAAACATGAACCAGACTACAACAGCTATTGCAAAGAAACGTGGCGAAAAACGTTTCGTACCTACTCATAATGAAAGGAAACAGATGCGCGTATTATTTTTTTACACAACGGAAATAATACAAATGGTGCCGTTTTTATTCATAGAATGTATTTGACTTTCGTTATTATATTGTATAGTGTATTTCATTTAATACATCTAATACTGAGTAATAACCAAGGTTATAATTATGAAAGTAAGCTTGTCTCTTTGTAAATTGTTAGTTTCATTTTATATCCTCGATTTCTAACAAGTACTACCGATTCACGAAAAATGTTTAATTCCGGTATTTTTCAAGACATTGACGAGGATGTTTTTTTTTTCGAGTGCCCATTGCAATGTTACATTCTGTATAAGAAAACTGTAAACTGTGCTTATTAAATAATGTACAAAGTTGATAAAACCAACATACTGTATAGCATTCAATTATTCATAGAGCTCAAGAAGTAGATAATCCAAGAAATGTTACAATATAAAAATTGTATCGCTCAAAGCGAGAGTGCTTACATTGCGTATAGCTTGTGTATAAATACTGAACTTACAAAATACGGAGAACATGAAAGAGCACTCTTTTAGCATTTATATATTCATTTCCTTCATGTATAAAAAGAATACGGTCTTTTCTTAGCAAAAATCCAGTGGTTTTATTTAAATTTTCAACATATTAGTCGTCACAAAAAACTACTAAATTCGCTTAAATAGTTGCTTATTCAGATTTTACATAATTTAATTGAAATTGTCCCCTTTACGTTTTTGATTAGAGGAATAAGTACATGTCATACGTAGTTTCGAAGGTAAACAACTATGTTAACATTACTATGTAGTATGTTAAAACAGCTATTGTATTTTATTAATAACATTGTTAGTTTTGCGATTTGTTATAACGCTTTACCAATGTACAGTCGACAAAGGGCGACCTTGTTAGTTGGTTAATTGATCGTTTAAAACAGTCCAGCTGTACTCACATTGACTGCACGTTCGGGATAGCTATAGCTCTGCGGAGAGAAAAAATCCTCAATTACTAGCAATTGTAACACATTTATTTTTAAAACGTATTCGATTCAGCGTGAGATTTGAGTAAGGGAACAGAAATAACGTGTAATGTGTCATGAATTTAAGATTCTATTGTTTGTGATGATTGCGTTTATCTTCTATGTATAGATTTTATATCATCTGAGCCATTTTTACCTTTGACTTTATTGCTCTTCACACAAATATTACAATAGTATTGAGACAAACAAAAGATCGAACTTTTTTGCGAATTAATGTAAAATAGCTTATAAGTGTGCAATGGCAAAAAGTGTCACAAGATACATATCTACTCTTACTACTACTCGTGCTGTAACTGACTTGTCTTATGCGTTTTTTTCCTCGCTTAAGTTTTACTAGTATTAGGTTTTACATAATGTGTAAACCCAGTACGTTCTGAACTAGCAGCGACAACAGTATGGCTCATATTATAACGTTTCAATTCAACAATTAAGTTTTTCACGAAGCCATAAACATTCACAATACATTCTACAAAGAGACGAACGATATAAGTGTCGAGGAGTATTTCATGTGATAAAACAAATCAAATTGGAATAAAAATGAAGCAATAAGTTATATGTCTGCGGCACATTATGCTAACGTACCCTCGATATCCTTAGCGGCTGGTTGTGATCCGCGCCGCCGTGCATACGGAAGCCCCAAGGCGCGCCGCCCGTCAGTTCCACCTCTCTCGTTGTCATCGTCGATTTTTCACTTCATTGCTCGGTATCCTTGACTTTACTCACTGTGGTCTCTTCAATGTTCAAACTTATATGGTTGTTTGGAAGCCCATTTTATTGTAAATAGTTTGACAGTTGTAAGTAATGGAAAGAAAGAGGGTAGTACCTGAAACAAATGATATATTATTTTAGTAATGTTTCTTGGGGTAACTACATATTGCATTATGGTTCATAATCACTATTGAGTTTCATGACATCGATATTGTTACAACTTACAAATGTATGGAGTTCAGAAAAAGGAACAGAATAACGATAAATTGTTTTATAGTTTTACTTCGTATCTGAACTCAATATAAGTATATTAATACTGCACATAACATAAATTTACTCTTGTACTAGAAGTTCTGTGCAAATTGACCTCTCAGTGGCTGGCTCCGATACGTTCTATTAAGCTATTCTAAAGTTCCGTGGTCAAGTTATAAAGTTTGACTTCCCGATGCAGCTCTTTGATAGACACGACTAGAAACTGACTCGATATTAAATCCAGCGCATAGATATTTCCAATACGTTTAATCAAATTATACAGAAAATCTTAAAATACCATAAATACATCAGGACTGTCAAAAAATCTATTCTGCGAGAACTATAAACAAATTATGACAATTACTAAAATATAATGCACATTTCCAATAACAACATAAGAATTAAAATTTATGTGCTTAGAGATACAAGGAATCGGTAATTCTAAAAACTATATAACTCTGTATTTTTAACTTTACGACTTGTCTACTTTGGTTTAATACCTCATAAACACCTGTAATAAATTAGGTATTTAAAATCGGCTCAGAACATTCGGACATTTTCCTTGCCACGTGTTAACAAAGATCTCTAATAGACAACGTAACTAGCAATAAGTATAAACATTTTAGTATTTTACACTAGTGTATTATTAGAAAATACCGCGCTATTCAAAAAAATAATATCCCAAGACCACACAAAAATCTTCTGGGAATAGATTACGGGTTCATAAAAATCACAATACGACAACAAATATTCAAGAAGAAATTGTGGTAACTTCTATTAATGGCTTACATTGCACCAACTTATTGAATGAAATCTGTGTAAACTTTATATGTCGGCCTCTAAAAGCGCATCGAGGTAAAGAGGAGCGTAAACTAAAGGTAATTCGAGCGTGCGCGAGTGCTACGGCAGAATTATTTTCAGGCTATGATGTCGACTGGCATCCGAAACGAAGGTCGCTGCTAACGTGCAATATTGAATCATGACCTACAGAGTCCGCTATGAATTGAACAAATGGATCATTTATAAACATTGTATCGTCAAATATAAAACAGCACTCAAATATTTTAACTAAACGACTTGAACCAATATTACTTATAAATTTTGGTATGTACTATTTCTATTTACTATAATGAATTAATTCCTACTTGTGATAATGATATTAAATAAAAATCATCACCAGCTCACTATATGTCCCCTCCAATGGGCTCGGAGCATACTTAGGGCGACTAGTCCATAGTCACCTACGCTGACCAATTGCGGGTTGGTTGACTTCAAGCATATCTTTGGATTTCTTCGTCATTATAAGCAGGTGGCTTCACGATGTTTTCCTTCACCGTAAGAACATTATGTACAAATGAAAATTCGAAAAAATCACATTGGTACATGGCGGGATTCGAACCCAAGACCTGTAAATTACAAGTCAAGTGCTTAAACCACTGAGCCACGCTCTCCTATGTTATATGGCGCAGTATAACTTAAATAATGTAGTGTAGCTTGCAAGATGACTTCGCTTACATGCTTAAAAAGGTAAAAGCCTACTCAGAGTGTACGAAGGCACTTGATTATTAATCGGATCAGTCACAAAATTACCATAACAAGAGTGGGTACATTGTCTACGACGTACCGGCGATGGGAAACGTAGCAGTGTAATGTTACCTTATTGTGATGTTTATAATATGCAGAGTTCAATCCTCAAGACCTTTGTAATCTATATTAATATTATACAAAGGAAAATTTGTATTTTTGTATGTATTGAGATAACTCAAAAACTACTAGGCCGTTTTTAAAAAAGAAATTTATCTGTAACATAAGCCATTTTTATTGTTTTCTAATTTTACGCGAGCGAAGTCGCTACCAACAGATAGTTATACATAATTTGTCATCAAAATGTTTTATCTACTTGATGCATAATAGAAAACATAATAAGGGCAATAATAAAGGTAAATTTAACATGAAGTTTTGTACATCCATAACATACATGTTACGTTTAAGTATTATCAATATTAATAACTCACTATTTCTCGTATTCAAAGTATATGTCCATTTTAACCATAACAATTCACACTTTTTAACAAACTTAATGCAATTCGGAATTGAGTTTTATTTAAGCTACTTGGTTTTTTGTGCATTTACTCGTAAAATATTTCATTGGACGAGAAGCTGAAAAAAAAAATAAAATACCCTCGAGGAAAATTTGCACACTTGCAGAATTTATGAACGTCGCGCTACTAAATATATTACCATTTGCAGATTACTGAAACATTTTATGAGAGGGTTTATTTTTGCAGTATAAGATATTTTTTTATTTGGTCAAAACAATACTGTATTAAACAAAAAACATTGTTATAAATGTCATTTTTACGCAAAGTTAAAATAACATGAGAACGGTATTAATGTTTTTAAATGTTCTCTTTATTGAACACCATAACGATTTTATTAATTACAAATTACTTTGTTATCTAACGTTAAACTAGTGTCAACAATGTTATTCAAGAATATCTAAAATCATAATATATAGGAAAAAGTGTTATAAGTAAACAACAAAGTAATACATTAAAAGAACAAATCGATTGTTTTGAATTTAATTCAAGTGAGCCATAACTCATAAGTCAAACATTTTGCAAAACCATAACTTATTTCGCTTGCAGCCGTGCGTGAAATGAATAACGTAACATTTTATATTTCCAACTGTTCCGACGCTAAATGCGCAAGCTATTTGAGCAGAATGCATTTAGTAGCGCGACAAACATAAATTCAACACCAAATGGGAGGCTACGTTAGCGTAGCATTTTGTTAAGTATCCCTTATAGGAAATATTAACTATTAATTTAACTATAAATTAACGATTTCTTATTTATCTATAAAAATATTATAATGAGGAAAATATGTATTTTTGGATTTTTATATGTATTGAAATAACTCAAAAACTACCAAGTCGATTTCAAAAATGCTTTCACTATTGAAAAGCTATGTTATCAGTGAGTAACATTGGCTATATTTTTTACTATTTTAATACGTGGACAAAGACGCGAGCAACAGCTAGTTATAAAAATAAAGTAACGGGACTATGCATAGTTTTGTTATTATTTAAAAAATACAATACGTTATCGAAGTATTATGACGTTACCGTGATATCAATCATTAAAATAATAGAATCATCATCATTAAGTTTGAATTTCATTCATTTTGTACATTTTAATTCCACAAAGGCGAGAGCTTGGATGATCCGCCAACGAATCTGCAAGCTTTTCATTTAATCCTTTACAGTCGGCCGGCTGGCTTTATTTTTTCACAAGTTAATTGACTATGTTTATAGACGAATAAAAATATTATTTTAAGTCATTTGCTGATTAAAGCTTATTCAATGGTAAAAATAATGACACAGTATTTGTCGAGTTTATCTAAAACAATAAGATGTTTGCTTCGTATTTTAGAAATGAGGAATAACTATGGTTACTTGATCTACATATTTCAAGCGTCTACCTCTAAAGAGTACAAAGTGCGATTAGATCAAACATAGAATGTGTTTGTGCCGTAATAGACATGCGTAAAGACGTCAGTTAAAATTATACCACCGGCTTTTAATAGAACCAACAGAGATGAATCATGCAGTATTACGCTAATCGATGTTATATAACTACAACGTTGTTGATTATGTACCTATAGTCGAATTTAATAAAAAAATACATATTTCTAGTCTTTGGTACTTTATAGTCTTTGGATTTATTTTGTTAATGTTTCAATTTATGATACATGTCTGTTTTTAATTAGTCTACGATTACAACCTAATGAAGTTAAAATTGTTAATTAGTTGGTTATACTTTTCAAGTCTATTGCTATCGTTTTGTTCGAATATAAGTAGTTAAAGCATTTGCTATAAAAATAAATAATCTTAAACTACAATTGATAAATAGAAATGGGGTCTCATGAAGGAGCATGTTGCGGCCGTCGTAATTAATTAATCGACCCTTACCATTGAGTTCGCTCTCAACGGCGGAAAGTATGCCGCTTTTCTCATAATAACCTTTATCTTGAATGACAAAAGGCACAATTTTCTATCTCTATTAATCATTAGCCACAATTTGAAAAATTAATTTCTACTTTTTGCAACATTATTTTGTTGTGATTCTCATTAATAGGTACGTAACTTAAGTAAATAAAGTTTGATTGGAATAAAAATTAAGGAAGGAAAAAGATGTCGTATATTTTTTTTATTTAAAAGACAAAAACAATCAATATACAATAACTTATTAAAGTTTACGTCTCTTGAGAACAATAGGCTTGAGAATAAGAAGGTTAAGAATAATTAAGTTCAAAATAAGTGGCCTTATTTGAGTGAAATTCGGAAAATATTTATTTATTCCCAAACAACTTAAGCCAATACTTCAGCTACGAGAAATAAGTTATTTTTAATGCCTAGTACTTTTTATTAACTGCCACAATTTAATCAACACAGAAAGAGCTTGCAAACGACGTGCTTTTGATATCTCTTTGTAGGAAATTCAAACAATTTTTCTCATGCAAATCGCAAGCAAATGAATTATCTGTGAATTCTTTATGAACGAAGATAAT